GTGAGCCTTGTTTTAACGCCCTTGGGAAGTGCTCTAGTTTAAAGCATTTCTGTATGTATTTATGTAGGATGTCTGGAAAAGCTCTGTGGATTGTCTTCAGAATTTCATTATCAATTCCATCAGGACCGGGTGCTTTCCTGGTTGGCAATGAATCAATATTTCTATCTATTTCTTCTTCAGCTATGAGAAGGTCTTTATTAGTGCTGATAGGTACAAGGTTAATTAAATCTTGTGTGACAGTTGGATATAAGGAGTTCAGGATTCCTTGGGCATTATCTTTGAAGCATGTAGCGCTTCCTAGTTGAATGAGTTCTGATGGTGGTGAACCTTTTGTGAAGACTGTTTTATATGGTTTGCCGAAGGTGGTGGTAGATTTTGTGCAGAACTTCTTCCAACAAGACCTTTTTGTTTTGTTTATTAGTTTAATATAGTTGGCTCTTGCTTGCTTAAAATTAATTTTGAAGGTATTCTTTAGGTTCTCATCTTGACATTTCTGAAATCTTTTCCTCATAGCCTGGAGTTGTTTTTTCTTTATTTGCAGCTCTTTGGTAAACCATGGTATTTTTGGTGTTATGACTTGAAGTTTTTTCTTTAAAGTTTGATTGCAAGCATGTTGTATCGTGTTGATTAGGAATTCAGTAGTGTTTTCCAGGTCTTGTTTGTTGTTTGTATGTTCTATTTTGCTAATAATGTTTTTTACTGACTTTCCTAGTACTTTGTTTATTTTGAAGAGATTACCATATTGGGTTTTGAACCTCGTCAGCGTATATTGTGCCCCTTTATCTTGGATTTTAAGTAGGATCCAACAGTGGTCACTTAGTGTTTCTTCTTGTAGTACGCTTCGTGTTGAGGTGTTAGCTAAGGATTTATCTGTTGTTAGGATTAAGTCTGGCCATCCTTGGTAGGTGGTGTTACTGAAAGTTGGTGGGTCTGATTTGTTGTTGATTAAATATAAATTTTTCGAAGTTATAAAATTCTGTAGATGATTTCCTCTACTATTGTTCCTACGACCCCCTGATACTTATAACGTTTTTAAATTTGCGCATTTTGACAAAGAATAGATTAAAAAATGTCATTTTAAAAATGTTGCTTGGAGAGAGAAACCGATTGGAGAATTGGAAACAGCGATGCGAAAGTATATAAGATCTGTTTTATTATCTCATGCAACAGAAAACAAGAATGTAAAACAAAAAATTGTCCCCTAGTGTTATTCATATTTCTAAACAAACTTCAAATAAATAGCACTCCAAATTATAAGTTCCCATTCTGTGATCCCGATACTTCTGAATGAACCAAAGCAATTATTTGAAATAGTATTAGTAATCACGTTTAAAAAAGACATTTTGAGTTGATTTTGATGCTTCTTAACACGCTGATTTGGATGTTTGGACAGATTTCGCCGGCCTTCATGTTTCTGCCTCCCTTAAATATGAATTTGCGACGTCTAATATGGTCCTTATTTGCTTCATATTCAACAATTTTCTAAAAATATATATTATTGACGGCCATTTTAGAAAACTTAGCCCAAGTATTAACTAGATATGCCTGGTTATTGATGCATTTTCTCACATTAGTAATATTATTTACATTTATGAAAATATTTAAGGAACATTAGGCATTTTGTCTTGCAGTGAGGGTTCGAAATTTTAGCACTTCATCTATGATTTTTCCATTATTAAAAAGTCTAGCCCAATATTTTTCATAAGCATTTTTAAGAACTTATTTATCTTTCCTGATTTCAGATGTCAGACAGTGTGGATTGAAATTGCATTTGATGGTTTCGATGTGACAAATATGACATACAATGCAAAATTTGAAGTAAGTATTTTGCTTATATATTTCTTTAAAAGAAGTTATTTAGAAACTTAATTACTTATTAGCCATGAGCAACCAAGTTAATAATCAATACAAATGAGTTAACTAAAATTGTGATTGCAACGCAAAGTTTTGCTAGCTTAAAATAAAATGACAAGAAAAGAATTTTAAGAGCATCACCAATCTGATTACACACCGCATTCGGTTGTTGAAAATGAGTTTAAAACTTCATACACTTCGATGGAATTCCGTTCATCTTTCTGTCTTAGATAGTATTCTGCTTTTAACAGCCTTATAGATAAAGTTTAATCTAATTTTAACACCACAAACTCTTAATTGCAAATGCAAAAATTGTTTCAAGTTGTTGCTTTCTTATATTTTTTTATATTATTTCATTCTCCTCTTCCTTTCTTTCTTTTTGTTTTTCCTGACTCAACTTATAGAAAAATACTCCTTTATTCTCACTGAAATTTGAAGAAAATTGCAGTAGAATTATCAGGAAAAAAAATATCACTTTTTCAGTATAGTGCACATTAAATCAGTTGTTTCAGTAATGTACGCTTGCTTTTCGGCAGTCCCCTCATACCAAAATTTACATAATTTAGTTAATATTCCGTTTTCCAAAAGTCAAAATTCAAAAGTTCTGCCACTAGTTACACGAGTGCAATTGCAGATCCTAACTATCAATTATCTAAATGATATTTTTTTGAGCTTATTAGCTAATTAGCTCAGAAAATAATTTCACAAGCCCCCTCGGGATGTTGTTACAATTTTAATCAATGAAACACTCGTTTTTGCATATATTTTTTTTATTATTATATAATTATTCCTCTTTATTGCAGAGCATAGAACTGTTTAGTGTGATCGGCGGTTACATGGGAATGTACCTTGGAGTTTCGATTGTGGCTGTTTATGATTTTGCTGAAATAGTGATGACAGGAGTTCATACTTTTTGGCGAAAGCATTCTAAAAATAAAAAGCAGTCGAAAAAGCATAGTAAAAAAATATTTATCTCAAAAATTCAATCGAAAGTTCAATTTGAGATTTCAAAGGATGGAGTCACTAAGAGGGAGGAAAGCTCATAAAATGTGTTAATTTCAGAAATTAAATTTCTTTCCTTTGTAACCTTTGACTTGTAATCTGCATTTTTATTATTATTACTGAATTCTGGATAATTCGTCATAGAATGACTTACAATTTGTGCACTGAAATAAAGAAATAAAAATGAAGGAATATTAATTACCTCACTTTTACAATGGTTTTGCTATTCTACTCAATATGTGCAAACATATATTTACTACTGCATAATTATGAAAATGTAAACATATTAACCTTAAAATTTCAAATGAACCAAAAAGCTTATGACTTCTTGTCCACGGACAATCCCTATATATAAGAGTAAGTAACGACAAGTAATCGGCGCAAATTGATAAGTATAAATACGGTTGAAAGCATAATTACGGTAAAAAAAAATTCTACTGCGATACCTAAAGGTTTTAGGGACGTTAAAGATCACATAGTGCAGCAATTCTCAACCTGTGGGGCACCCCCCCCCCCAGTGGAGCGAAAATATCCAAAAGAAAGTATTATTTAAAAATATTGAAAATATTGACGAAAAAAATTGATTGAAAGGAAAGCACATATACACGTAGAAAACAAAATACATTTCGACATATTTAATAACTTACTAAAGTAAAACAACTTACTAAATAAAAACTTAAGGAGGGTGAGCCAAAGGTTGCCATAGCTAAGCTTTGAGGATTTTTCCTAATTTTCTGGTTAAGTATATTTTTTAATTTATTAAATTATTATTATTATAATTTTTATTTATAAAGAATTTTTTGTAGATTCTTACACCTATCTCTAATACATATCACGTATACTTCTAAATGTAAAATAAAATTTCATTTATTTTATAGTACAATTTCAAAATTGTAGCTTTTGAGCCTAACGTGGCTCACAGGTTGCAAAAATGGCCCATATATTGAAATCAATATCTTCTTACTTGGAAATTAGAACGACAGCTGCAAACAATTCAATCACTCCATACATTAGAGGCCATTCAGGGAAATCTCTTCCAATTCAGCATGTGCACCTCAGATACAAGATTTAAAATGCAGAAAAACATTGTGATTAAAAATGAAATTAATTCAATTATTTTTTTCTGGGAGGGGCTACGCTAGGAACACTGACCACCTTTGGCTCCTCTACCTTACTTAATAAAAACATACTAAATTAAAGACAAATTTAATAATTATTACTGACTTCCTTTGCAGGGCAAAGTTTTTCGAGGGAGGGCTTAATATTAGAAATAGCCACTCTCAGTTTTGTTTCTATATTTAGCCGAAATCTATATTTTGTCTTCAATTAAGCCACAGCAGGAAATCCAGTCTCACAAAGATAGGATGTTAAAAATGGTAATAGAATGCGAAATGTTCTTTTTTTAGTGCAGAAAAATCATCCTCTACTCCTGCTGAAAATTCAAACAGTGATTCATTACTAAATTGTCCTTTGATTTCGCCACTTGTCGTGAAGTCTACGAATTTTTCTTCCTCATCAATTGAGAGTCCTTCGGGAGTCTTATAAAATAGATCCCTAACCCACTCGTAACTTGCTATCAGTTTGTCGCCAGCAGAAAAATGCTTTTCAAATTTCTTTGCCACCATGGCTGAATGATTTTTAATGGTGACCAAAAAAAACTTTTACGTGTTCTTCTTGAAAGTTTTAGTACAATTATACGCAATGCGAACATTGTTAGGATTTTTCTTTTTTGCTTTAAATTTCTGCTCCACAATTCCAATTTTCTACAAAAAGTATTAACTTTATCACTTATATCCAACATATGTGTATTTGCTCCTTGAAGATTCAAATTATTTAATTTCTCGAATATGTCGACCAAGTAGTTCAATTTCCTCACAAATAAATCATTGCGAAAATTCTGGGCTTCCGGACTGTTTTCTTCTTCTAGGAAAATGGTAATTTCTTCTCTGAATTCAAAAACACGTTGCAAAAATTTCCCACATGATAACCATCTTGCCTCGCAATAAAATAGTGACGCTGAATGTACTGAACCGATTCTCGATTTCAGGGTTCTCATTTTCACATAATTTTTTACATTACGACCGTAGTTAACACAATATTCAGACCAGGACTCATTTCTTTTGAAGCCAAAGCTTCTCTGCGAATCATACAATGTGTCCAAATCTATGAAGCGATTTTTGTTTTACAAGTGCTTGTATACTTTGGAATCTTCCGGATATTGAACGAGCACCACCGGTGCATATTCCGACGCAATTTTTCCATTCAATGTTTGCCTCGTTCATAAAATCATTTGAAATAGCAAATAATGCGGGCGCTGTTGTTTTGAGTTCTATTGGTTTATAGAAAAGTAGCTTTTCTACTACTGGCACGTTATCACAAAATCGAACATAGGCAATTAAATGAACATCTTTATTACTATCTGTTGCTTCATCAAGCTGCGTTGAAAACAATTTCTCACGCAATTTCGAGAAAAGCTGACTCTGTACATCTTCATCTATATCACCAATTCGACGAGCAACAGTTTCATTTGAAAGAGGTATGGACTGCAATCGTTTTGAAAGATTATCTCCAAACATAGTTTCTACCAGAGTTGGCCAAAAATGTAATCGATTACATTTTTTGATTACATAATCAATTACTTGTAATCATGATTACAATTTTCAAAAATTTTGATTACAGCTGTAATCATGATTACAATTTTGATTACAGTAATCAGTTACTTGTAATCATGATTCCAAGTAATTGCGATAACAAGTAATCACAAGAAAAACGATTACGGGTAATTATGATTACAAGTAATCAAAATATATGATTGCAAATTGTGATTGCATGTAATCTAAATACACAATTACAAGACTATTGCATTCTTATAAATGATTCTATTTTACAGTAGATAGTATAATGTATTTTATAATGATACATTTTGCACGCATTTACATGTACTGCATTTTGTACGTATTTGTATACGTACAAATGAATGTAACTAAAATGTATGTACATATGATTTTATCTAGTGCATATGCTCAGATATTTTAGTTTCACACACATGTACATACACTTATATTGTAAGTATAAAATATATGTACGCATGCATATAGATAATAATTACGTATGTATAATCAAACAATGTAGACATGTACATTTATGCACAATGAATATATGCATTTTATGCAAATATTTGTGTATGTAAAATGTATATCTATGTTCATGTACGCATGTATATACAAGTACTTGTTGTTTGTACGAACATGCATACATTGGCTGTACAATGCATGTCCCATGCATGCGTGTGCAATTTATTTATGAACAGTATAATATATGTATGCATGTACAATATAGGTATATATGTAGTATGTACAATATATGTATGTATACATGTACATGATATGCATGTCCAATGTATTTATGTATATACACATAATATGTTCATACTCAAAGTATGTATCCAAATATGCATAATACATTTGTGTACAATTGTTAGTACATTGGGCGTATTTATATTTTACATATATTCATACATACATTCGACATGCATAACGTATGTACATACACACATTTGAGATGCATATATTGTACAGATGTATATATTGTACAGATGTATATACATATAGCGTACAGATGTATATTCATATAATGTACATATGATGAAATGAACATATAATGTTCATATAATGTACATATGTGTGTACGTATACAGTACACATGTGCATAAATATATTGGACATAATTCTTTCGTACAAATTTTCGTGTACATGCATGCTATCTATGCATATGGTGCAATGTATATATGTCCAATGAATATATCCACTCATGTACAATGCACGTATGTTCCATGTATGCATATCCATATGTACTATATATGCATGTACAATACATGAATGTATGTACATACATGGTACATGCGTACATACATTACACGTATACATATGTACATTACATTTATGTCTAAATATGTGTACAATGCAATAAATAAAATGCATGTAAGTTAACTTTTAATGACTCAAGCAAGTTAAATGACAAAATCATACGATATTTAAATTTAGTTTTCAGCTTTAATTGTTATATATCATTTTGAAATTCTTTGAATAATAAATTATTTTCAGGAGGTATTTTCATGAAATGTTTGACAATACAGATTTTTTTTTTTTATAACATAATGCATGATTCATAGAAATTTTTTAAATGGTAAAAAGCACGGTAAATTTTAGGTGTGGAAATAATATTTAGAAATTTAAATAAAATTATCGTTTGCTTTCCAAAAAATATGAGGTCGAGTTTTATATGCCTTAGAATAAATTTTAAAACAAACTTTAATAACTTTCTATAATTTTTTTAATGTATGCACAATGTATGTGTATATTGTAATTACATATATTTAAATGTACGAATGTATTTATACATTACTTGTAGTTATGTACATGTATACGTTGCATATACGTGCGTACATTGTGCATATAACTATTTTTTTGTACATCAATACATTACATGCGCATAAGTATTAACAAAGTATATAGTTATACAAGTACATACATACGTTGTACATAAGTACATACTTTGCATGTACATATATCGATGTACATATAAATGTACATGTATGCATGTACGCATTTTATTTATGCAACTATGTGCATATATTGCACCTTTAAATAACATTCTTGCATATTGTACGCAAATACGTACAATTTTATATACATAACGCAGATTGTATATACGTGTTATTATCGTAAATTTATACAATGTATGTACTTAAGTGCATAAAAGCATGCAAACGCATAAACATTATTTTCATATACGTTCATACATATATTGTCTATGTATACAAAGATACAAAACATTGCCTTTTTGTACAAACTAACATACATGCGTACATGTATCATAAATGCATAATTATATGTACTGAGCATATGCGTATTGCATTAAGTATATTACAATATAATTATGAATATTGTACGTACAAACAACGTGTGTGCATACATTGTATATATAGGAATCGCAAATTGAACGTTAATGCGTGCGTGCGTTCTATGTACATAAAAATATGTAAACTCATGCATACTTACATAATGAATTTGCATATAGTATACAATCGTAATAACTTGTAATCGTATAATTTGATTACAAGTAATCACAATTGCCTGTAATCAAATACATGTGATCATGATTACATGTAATCATATATTTTGATTTCTTATAGTCATAATTACCCGTAATCGTTTTCGTTGTGATTACTTGTAATCGCAATTACTTGTAATCATGATTACAAGTAATTGATTACTGTAATTGAAAAATGCAATCGATTACATTTTAGCTCTACTCTGATGTAATCAAAAATTTTGATTACTTGTAATCGTGATTACAAGTAATTGATTACATAGCTGTAATTATCTGTAATCAATTGCAGTTGTAATCGATTACTGTAATCGACGGCCAACTCTGGTTTCTACAATCTCAATTGATGCTGGCAAAATAAGCTCTTCACCAAATGTGTGTGGTTGTTTACATCTGGCTATTTTATATGAAACTTTGTAGGATGCAGTTAAAGCTTTTTTAATCACAGACAAAGTTTCTTTAAAAAATGATTTTTGCTTTTTATATGACTTTAATTTTAATTCGAAGAATTCTCTCAGTTTGTTGACGTATTCACTATCAAGCGTTTCCAAATGTCGTTTAAATTTATTAAGTTTCATGCTGCCTGCGGCCAACATTTTTGAGTAAATGATACACAGGGGACTTTTTTCTTCATTAACTTCAGTACTGGTAAACCCAAAATTTAAGCATTCTTGAGAATATTTTCTTGGTTTTATTTTCGGAACCACCATCATCTGTGTACTTGTTGATGCTTGACTATTGTCTAATGCTTGCTTACTTCAGCTTAAAAATTTATCCATGAGTCTGAATAAATCTGCTGTCGTGAATATTTAATATGGTGAATTGCAATAAATACGAAAACGTACATAACATACACATTCACGATAGATTCGATAGCTATAGAAGGATCGACTCGAATGAGACTGGCTGGAATTGAAACTTGCGTTATCGAACATTTTCCTCCTTCCTATGAGAAAACATTTGCTCTGCGCATGCTCAAGACGGCATCAGTTAGTTATTCAGGTGTTTCTTTCCCTCATTTAGAAAACAAGTTGTTTAGTAAAATTAGTAATTATACTAAATTTTATTCTCTCTAGTTTCATAATGTATCAATTCCATCAAGAGCAAAAACGTTTTTATAAAATATCTTTGTTATGGAGTAGATTCTCAAGTGCATAAAAAGTTACACGAGCAGTTGTTTAATTACTATTTTTAGAATATGTGCACTCCCGTTTATCGGTACAGTCTTAATTAGACATAGCAAATTTAAGTACACTTTAAACCTCAAAGATAAGAATTTCTGGTTCTTACACAGATTAGCTTCATCAATGATACAACATAACTGAAAAACACTGTCACTATCTGCAAAAGATTGTTCGAAATAATCAACATGGAAATTTTGTATTAATAACAAAATTACATCACAGTCATCTATCTATACATAATAATAAACGCGGTTGTGTGTGTGTCTGTAATCACAATATATCACCCCAGAGGCCTCGCCCAGGCACGAAACTCGGCACATAAATGTGTTTTGACATAATGAAGTATTTTTTTTCTTTTTCAAAAATTTGGATTAGTTTTTTAGTTATCAGTCATTTTGTAAGAAAATCTATGCTTTTTCGTCTTCAAAGAGCCATATTCAAAAAACTATTAAAAAATGCATATACTTTTCTCCACTCTTATAAATGTATGCTAATGCGAACCTTACAATTGAAATATTAATTTTCGACAACTTAAACCAATAATATACGAAGGAATTAATAATTTAATTGTAAGGTTCGCATTAGTTTACATTTATCAAAATGGAGAAAAGTTTAACTTTTGTATTAAAAATGTGGCAACATATTCGACACGTAAATAGAACGCTTCGCTTTGATATATTTGTTGCTGAAATAAATTTTGTCATTGTCACTCGATTACAAAAGTAAATTTAAACCAAAACTTGTTGGCATTTGAAGAAGAGCCTCAGAGCTCAAATAAATCTTGATAGGCTAAATTAAGCCTCACCTATTGAAACGCAGGGCTATAAGCGAAAGCAGAGAGCACGCCGCACTTTACTATACTCAATACTAAATATTTGTTGCTGTTCATAATTGTTATAATAAGTTTTTTTTCTTCTTTCCACACTCTATTTTTTTTTTCTTAAGCGAAGACGATAATTTTT